TAGGGAGCTCCACCGAAGGCCCCAGTGGCACCGCCCGCATGCGTCACCACCCGCACCCAATTCGGCACACCCCTCACACGTTTCGTGGCCCCATAGAGAGCTGCACCGAAGGCCCCAGTGGCGGCGCTCACATTGCGTCCCCGCCACACATCCCAGTACACCCCTCACGCGCTTCGTGGCCCCATAGGGAGCTCCACCGAAGGCCCCAGTAGCGGCGGTTACATGCCTCTCCGCCACCCATCCCGGCCCCCCCCCGCAGCAGCATCATGTTTCGGGGACCCATAGGGAGCTCCACTGGAGGCCCCAGTGGCGGCCCGCACATGCGTTTCCGCCACCCATGTCGGCACGCCCCGCGCGTGTTTCATGTCCCCATAGGGAGCTTCGCCGAATGCCCCAGTGGCACCCATCTCGGCACACCCCTCACACGTTCCGTAATCCTATGGGGAGTTCCATTGAAGATGAAACCCGCAGTTGCGGTACTGACAACTGCATATGGTTGGGTTCTTCGCCAGGCTAATTTAAACGGAATGTTCATACATTTATCAATGAAGATACTAATAATAATAATAATAATAATAATAATAATGATAAGAATGACGAAACCGCGTGTATGCGTGATTGCTCCGTTTGTTGAACGCCAAATGTGTTGGAAACCTTAAATTTGTACAGGGCTTCGCTCGTAAGAATGCATAAATGAGGATCGAACAAAAATTTGAAACCGTAACAACATACAATGCGAACCACCGAAATAGTCGTATTAATACCTATGGTAAATATCAAACCTCATATTTGCAATATTGCTCATAGTTGCAAGACCCCTGCGGGGGGGTACCATCTAGATATATCCTGAAATATTTCCCGCAAACGGGTACAACCATTATTCAGGACGCTAAGGAGGAACGAAAGACGTCGAAGGAGGAACGGGAGTTTGAGGCAAAAGGGAGACTTCGCAAGCACCCTGGAGCTGGTGATTGTGAAGGCGTTGCTTCGGCGATTAAATTCCGCCAACCTGCCGTGATTTTAAACCGAGCTGAGTGAACCAGAATTGCTTGACTTCGCAACCGAACTGGGGCGAACTGGACAAAATCAGACAACACACAGCGCAACGAGTCCCGCGTAATCGTTGTTCCGGCAATTTCAAATTCCGTACTCCCCAATTTCAACATTTGGGGGTCTCGATGGTCTACCTTGGACTCTAGATTTTCTTATAAAACCTTCGAATACTCAGACCCTGGTCCTGAAGCTGTTTCTTCTTAATAGATCCTGATGGGTGCCCCCAAGTGCAGGCACTGCTTGGGGAATGACTCTTACACTTGTCCACATTATTTTCCGTAGTATTCCTCGTCTATTCTGGGCCCCTCGCGAGGAGGGCGAGACGCCCCTGCCTTGGGCGACCAACCTGAACTTGTACGGGGCCGTGCTGCACCTTGCCACCGACGTGGCCCGCGGCGTGCTGGTCCTCGCCGCTGGACTCCTGCTGCAGGCCGGGCTGCTCGGGGACGCCGCCCGCGCGGACGCGCAGTGCGCGATGCTGGTGGCGGCCTGCGTCTTCGCCGGCCCCGCAACGACGACGACGACGACGCCGACGCCGACGACGACGGCGACGGCGACGGCGAATGCGACGGCGACGGCGACGGCGACGGCGACGACGATGACGACGACGACGACGACGGGGACGACGACGACGACGGCGACGGCGACGACGACGACGACGATGACGATGACGATGACGACATGGTCCTCGCAGGCCCCTCGGAGGGCCCTCGGGGGGGCACTGCGGGGCCTTCGGGCGCCCTGTTCGGAGACGTTTCGGGTGCGGCCCTCGGCGGTCACGGAGGGCCCTGGGAGGGCCCTCGGGGGCCCGCTTATTCTTCCTCGCACTTCTCCAGACAATCTCCTCCTTCTCCTTGTCTGTCCCACTCGCTGTCCCCGTAGCTCTCACCCCAAACCCGCCGCCCTGCTTTTGTTCCCAACCGTACTATGGTGTTGGGTCCTGGCTTTGAAGAGACAGCGCACCGCGTCGCTTTCCTCCTCTTCCCGCTGCCCCCATCCCTCCTCCCATCCTTGCGTCTGCTTCCCGCATGAGTCGAAATACCATTTCGGCACCTTTCACACGCTTCGTGGCCCCATTGAGAGCTCCATCGAAGGTCCCAGAGCTACCGCTCGCGTTAGTCCCCCCCCACCCAGTACAGCGCTTCGTGGCCCCAGTGCGAGCTCCACCGAAGGTCCCAGAGCTACCGCTCGCATGCGTCCCCCCCACCCAGTACAGCGCTTCGTGGCCCCATTGTGAGCTCCACCGAAGGTCCAAGTGCTACCGCACGCATGCGTCCCCCCCACCCAGTACAGCGCCTCGTGGCCCCATAGGGAGGTCCACCGAAGGTCCACATGCTACCGCCCGCATGCGTCCCCCCCACCCAGTACAGCGCTTCTTGGCCCCATATGAAGCTCCACCGACGGCCTCAGCTTTACCGCCCGCATGCGTCCCCCACACCCAGTACAACGCTTCGTGGCCCCATAGGGAGCCCCACCGACGGTCCCAGTGCTACCGCCCCCACGCGTCTCCCCCACCCAGCACAGCGCTTCGTGGCCCCATCGGGAGATCCACCGCAGGCCCCAGCGCTACCGCCCGCATGCGTCCCCCCCACCCTACACAACGCTTCGTGGCACCATGAGAAGCTCCACCGACGCCGCCAGTGGCACCGTGGGGAGCTCCACTGAAGGCACCAGTGGCAAAGTGCACGCGTCTCCCCCACCCAGCACAACGCTTCGTGGCCCCACAAGGAGCTCCACCGAAGGCCCCAGTGGCACCGTCCACATGCGTCTCCCCCACCAAGTACAGCGTTTCGCGGCCCATAGAGAGCCCCACCGAAAGCCTCAATGGCGCCGTCCACATGCGTCTCCCCCACCCAGCGCAGCGTTTCGTGGCCCACAGGGAGCTCCACCGAAAGCCCCAGTGGCGAAGTCCACATGCGATTCCCCCACTCAGCGCAGCGTTTCGTGGCCCATCGGGAGCTCCACCGAAAGCCCCGGTGGCGAAGTCCACATGCGATTCCCCCACCCAGCGCAGCGCTTCGTGGCCCCATAGGCAGCTCCACCCAGGGAGCTCAACCGAAGGCCCCAGTTGATACCGTCATTCGTCCGCTAACATACATTGAGATCCGACATCACGTCAAAAAACTTCCCGGGCCTTGGTCGGTCCGCATCGGCCCCAGGGGGCGGGGCTCGAAGCAGGGCGAAATACCGCTGGATGCCCAAGAGTTGCGACGTTGGGATCTCGGGGCACGTACGGTCGGGAACTTTTGGATACGGTCGGACCGAGGTACAAGTTCAAGGTTTTCGGGCGCTGTCGTCGGTTCTCGACGGTTTTCCAGCCTCGGGATGCGTTCCAGCAGCTGCGCCTCGCCGAGGGCGCTCCAGGGGTGCCCGGATCGTCCCGCACGGCCACCGGAGAGCCGAGCTATGACCAAAAAAACACCACGCGCTCGCCGCACCGAGGTATCAGATCGAGGTCGGTTCGAGAAGGGTACCCTCGTGTTCTCCATGCTTGTTGGGTGCTCTGGTGCATCCTGGGGGAGGGCACCCTCGAATGCTCCTGAGCTTGGGCCGGCGGAGGGTCTCATGTCTTTGGAAGGTGTGCTGTTTGTCCCAGGTCCGACTGTAGCGCATCGCTCCGCCGGTTCTGGCCCACGACGCTCTGACGCGGCACGCTATCCGTTCGGGACGACCGAGATGGGCACGGAAGGAATAGGTACAATGCCCAACAGCAGTTCCTGCTCATTTTGAGCAGGACTCGCTGTCCACGCCGCCGCGGCCTGTGTCCATTCGAGACAGAAGGCCGCCTGCCCAACAGCGGCCGCTGATGGTTCTGGACAACATTTGTTGTTGGGCATTGTACCCATTCTTTCGGTACCCATTTCGGGTGTCCAAATCTGGGGCGTTCCCGGAGGCTCTTGGCGCCACGGCTGGGCGCGGCCCAGAAGATTGGCCAGGGAAGGGCCCTGGGAGGGCTCTGGGGGCCAGTTTTGAGTGGGCTTGGGAGGATCGAGGATCCAGGCTCGAGTTTTTTGGATGTGTTCGTAGTTCTTCGATCCTCTCTTCACCAAGCATAATACAGCTCCTAACCCTGATATCGCCATGAATTCGTGGCCTAACTTAGGTCCTCGGTTCTTCGGGTTATCCCTAAACATGAGGGTGGTCTCTTCGGAGACATCTGCATAAAAGACCCTCTAACCATAACGTTCCTGGCCCTCCTAACATAGGTCCCCTCCCAGAGGCTCAGGGGTACACGCCTGTCGTTGTAAGCACGTATTTCTGGATGTTCAGATCCTTTTATACTTGAAGCGATTGCTTCAAGAGCCGATGTCAGTTCGCCGTGTTATGTTATTTGCTGGGAGGGCCTGAACCCAATCTCATGCGCCCGCCTGCCTACTTCATGTTTCTACCCACTCCTTCCGGCCGACGTGTACTCTTATTGCTTATCTCGAAGAAGAACGATTTACGCCATAAACACATTCGGTTGGCGTTCCGCGCGGATTTCTTGGATCCGCGCTGGGCCTCCCCGGCAGCGCCTGCTGCGCCGCCCCTGGCGCGCTCCGCGCGACAGGGAGGGGGGTACAGTGCCGATCCAAGAAATCTGCTTGTCTGCTTCTTCTTATGAAAGAACCCCTCCCTTAGGCCCCCGTCTTTGCGTTGGGCGTTAGGTGACAATCAGCGAGGTCATGTTTCTACCCACTCCTCCCGACCGACGTGCACTTTTATTCGGCGTCACGTCAACATACTCACACTACACGTGCGTCCCCCCCCAGGGGCGACGCGCGCACCGAGAAATCTTACAGTATATGCGTCGTAGCGGGCGCTTTCTGGCCGCACCGCTCGGGAAACGACGTATTACAAGATGGGTATACTATTATATGTTCGGGTCGGACGCGCGCCTCCCAGGAGGACATATGGCATTAGTGTGTCCCTGCGCGTCCCATGTATTGCTCAGCCTCTCTCCGCAGGCAGCGCCACCCTCCTGGTCTCCGCCTTCCCCGCCCTGCGGCGCGCCGCGCTGGGGGCCGCCGGAGCTGGGCCCTGAGGGCCGGCGCGCCCTGGGGGGCGCTCGCGGGCGCGGCCCGCCGCCGCGTGCCCTCCCCGAGGGCCTCGATGCGCGGCGGGGACCAGTTTTCTGGACGTGCCGCGGCCCTGCGGCGTTCGAGGCTGCGCTCCTCCTCCTCCTCTTTCTCGTCCTCTCCCTCCTCCTCCTCCTCCCCAGCCTCCCCCTCCCCCTCCCCCTCCTCCTCCTCCTCCAGCCTCCTCCTCCTCCTCTCCTCCTCCGCCTCCTGCTCCTCCCTCCTCCCTCACCTGCTCCTCCCCTCCTCCTCTCCTCCTCCTCCTCCTCTCCCATCCTAGCCTCCTCCTCCTCCTCCTCCTGCTCCTCCTCCCTCCTCCCTCCTCCTCCTCCTCCTCCTCCTCCTCCTCCTCCTCCTCCTCCTCCTCCTCCTCCTCCTCCTCCTCCTCCTCCTCCTCCTCCTCCTCCTCCTCCTCCTTAACAGTACCCAGACCCAGACCCCCTCGCGTCGTGAAAAGAAACACGACGGGAGGTTTCCCATGATTTTCGGCCTCTGGGGGCCCTTGCCGGACCCCGGGACCGTCAAAAAACGACTCAGGACGAGAAACCGGTCCCGGGGAAGGGGTCAAGACCTTTGGGGGTCGACGTTGCGAAAAAATCACGACGTCGAGTCTGGGAAGAGTGACCCTTCGCCGGAGTGACCTTTGGTGCGGGCTCATCGTGCCCCCTCCGATCGCTGAGCGCGATACGACAGCAGTGGCAGGCGCGCTCGGATGTTGCCCCCTCGCGCCCCTTCCAAAAGCCGCGCTCCTCAGGTCACTCTAGCCAAGAGTCACTCTTACTTATATATCGGGGGATAACAAAGCTTGCCTTGGGACAACCTTGGGCGACGACGACGACGACGACGACGACGACCTGGCCCTCGACCCAGATCTCGGGCGATATGATTATTCCCCGTGTCCTGAGTGCGGGCTTCTCGTTGTCAGTCTGTGATGCCTCCTCCTCCTCCATCCTTCCTCCTTCCCGCCCCCCTCCTCGCCAGCACTCAGACTCACTCACACTCATGCTCAGACTCACTCAGACTCAAATCCACTCACCGTCAGAACACTCAGCTTATATTCAGACCTCTCATACTCAGACCCACTCACACTCAGACCCACTCAGACTCACACACAGTCAGAACACTCAGCTTAGTCATCTTCAGATCTCATACCCACTGATACTCAGACTCCCACGCACTCTGCCTTACCCAGACTCAGACTCACTCACACACAGACCCACTCACAAACAGACGCTCTCACACAGACCTGCACATCATTTTGGCACGTAGCAGGCGTCGTAGCAGGCACGACATTTTTCTTTTCAGAGCCCCATGCTTATCGCGAGGTAGCAGGCGTGGCACTGGCGCACCCCAAGTAGAAGCCGCTGCGGACACTGACACTTGCCCGTTCGCACCCAGATCATGGGGACGTCTCAGACTGTTTGTCTATCTGGTGGTCCAGACCCCTTTCTTTCGAGAGCGCCATGATCATCTCGATATAGCAGGCGTGGCATCTGGGCACTCCAAGGAGGAGCTGACAGGGGTACGACATTCGTCCGTTCGGGCCAAGATGGTGAGGATGTCTCGGGCTGTTTGCGGCCCCTTTCTCTTGAGAGCCTTATGATCATTGCGACGCAACTGGCGTGGCACCTGGGCACCCCAAAGAGGAGCCGCCAGGCGTACGACGCTCGCCCGTTCACGCCCAGATGGTGGGGAGATCTCAGGCGGCTCGCTTGGTTAGGCCTTGGACTCTTTCTGTTCTGAAAGTTCCATGAGCACCGCGATGCAGTAGGCATGGCGCCGGGGCACCCCAAAGGAGGAACCGCCAGGGGGTATGACAGTCTTCCGTTCGCGCCCAGATGGTGGGGATGTCCCAGGCTGTTTGCCTGGTTGGTGGCCCAGACCCTGTTTTTTTATGAGTCCTAGTATCATCGCGACGTCACAGGCGTGGCAAACTGGGCACCCCGAGGAGAAACCGGCAGGGAGAGGAAACACTTGCCAGTTCACGCCGAGATTGTCGGGACCTCTGATGCGGGTTGCCCGTGTGGTGGCCCAGCACCACGACGCAGCAGGCGTGGCACCTGGGCACCCCCCAGAGGAGCCGCCAGGGGGTATGACCTTTGCCCGTTCGCGTGCAGATGGTGGGGATGTCTGGGGCGGGTTGCCTGCATGGTGGCCCACAAGGCCTCATGATCATCGCGACGTCACAGGCGCGGCATCTGGGCATTGCAAGGAGGAGCCGCCAAGCGTACGACATTCGTCAGCTCGCGCCCAGATGGTGGGGAGATCTAAGGCGGTTCGCCTGTTTAGGCTTTGGACTCTTTCTGTTTGAAAAAATGCCATGATCACCGCGATGTAGTAGGCATGGCACGTGGGCACCCCCGAGGAGGAACCGCCAGGGGAAATGACATTCGTCCGTTCGCGTCCAGGTGATGGGGATGTCTCAGGCTGTTTGCCTGGCTGGTGGCCCAGACCCTGATCTTCTTGAGAGCCCTACAGGCGTGGCAAACTGGGCACCCCGAGGAGAAACCGGCAGGGAGAGGAAACACTTGCCAGTTCGCGCCGAGATTGTCGGGACCTCTGATGCGGGTTGCCCGTGTGGTGGCCCAGCACCACGACGCAGCAGGCGTGGCACCTGGGCACCCCCCAGAGGGGCCGCCAGGGGGTATGACCTTTGCCCGTTCGCGTGCAGATGGTGGGGATGTCTGGGGCGGGTTGCCTGCATGGTGGCCCTCAAGGCCTCATGATCATCGCGACGTCACAGGCGCGGCATCTGGGCGCTCCAGGGAGGAGCCGCCAAGCGTACGACACTCGCCCGCTCGCGCCCAGATGGTGGGGAATTCTCAGGCGGTTCGCCGGACTCGGCGCCCTGGCCTCGCTCTGTCTCGGAAGCTCCTATCGTCACCGCGATGCGGCACGCACAGCATCCGGGCACCTCCCCAAGGGGAAGCCGCCAGAGCGTGTGTCACGGGCCCGTTCGCGCTCAGAGGGTGGAGATGCCACAGGCGGCTTGTTTGGTGCGGCGCCCTGTTTTTCCCAACCCTCCTGCGTTGGGTTCTCGTTTTGAATAGAGCACTGCGGTCTCCACCTTCCTTCCTTCCCGCCTCCTCCTCCTCTCTTCCCTCTTCCTCTCCTCTCTTGCTTCCCTTCTCCGCCTCTCTTCGCTCCTCCTCTTCTCTCTTGCATCCCGTCTCCTCTCTTCGCTCCTCCTCTCTTGCTTCCCTTCTCCTCCTCTCTTCGCTCCTCCTCTTCTCTCTTGCCTTTTACGTCATCCCTTTGGGGCTGCGATCTGTGAAACTGTCGCCACTTTCGAGGGCTGCTGGTGGGTCCAGCGGAGTGAGGCACCACGCAGATTCAGATTAGACCTCGCCATCCCTGGGGGGCTGCGATCTGCGAAACTGTCACCACTTTCGAGGGCTGCTGGTGGGTCCAGCGGAGTGAGGCACCACGCAGATTCAGATTAGACCTCGCCATCCCTGGGGGGCTGCGATCTGCGAAACTGTCGTCACTTTCGAGGGCTGCTGGTGGGTCCAGCGGAGTGAGGCACCACGCAGATTCAGATTAGACCTCGACTTTCGAGGGCTGCTGGTGGGTCCAGCGGAGTGAGGCACCACGCAGATTCAGATTAGACCTCGCCATCCCTGGGGGTTTGCGATCTGCGAAATTGTCGTCACTTTCGAGGGCTGCTGGTGGGTCCAGCGGAGTGAGGCACCACGCAGATTCAGATTAGACCTCGCCGTCCCTGGGGGGCTGCGATCTGCGAAACTGTCGCCACTTTCGAGGGCTGCTGGTGGGTCCAGCGGAGTGAGGCACCACGCAGATTCAGATTAGACCTCGCCATCCCTGGGGGGCTGCGATCTGCGACACTGACGCCACATTCGAGGGCTGCTGGTGGGTCCAGCGGAGTGAGGCACCACGCAGATTCAGATTAGACCTCGCCATCCTTGGGGGGCTGCGATCTGCGAAACTGTCGCCACATTCGAGGGCTGAGGGTGGGTCCAGCGGAGTGAGGCACCACGCAGATTCAGATTAGACCTCGCCATCCCTGGGGGGCTGCGATCTGCGACACTGACGCCACATTCGAGGGCTGCTGGTTGCGAAACTGTCGCCACATTCGAGGGCTGCTGGTGGGTCCAGCGGGGTGAGGCACCACGCAGATTCAGATTAGACCTCGCCATCCCTGGGGGGCTGCGATCTGCGAAACTGTCGCCACATTCGAGGGCTGCTGGTGGGTCCAGCGGAGTGAGGCACCACGCAGATTCAGATTAGACCTCGCCATCCCTGGGGGTCTGCGATCTGCGAAACGGTCACCACTTTCGAGGGCTGCTGGTGGGTCCAGCGGAGTGAGGCACCACGCAGATTCAGATTAGACCTCACCATCCCTGGGGGGGGCTGCGATCTGTGAAACTGTCACCACTTTCGAAGGCTGCTGGTCAGTCCCGCGGAGTGAGGCACCACCCAGATTCAGATTAGACCTCGCCGTCCCTGGGGGCTGCCATTCTGGGAAACTGTCACCACTGACGCGGGTCGTTTCAGAGGTGAGGTTGCCCCTCGGGCTCTCTTGTCACTCAGTTCTTTTGACCACGAGCATGATGAATGATCATTGTGGCGATTTGGCTTGGAAGTGAGGTTGCCCATCATGCCCGCTAATCATTCCCGATTCTTACACCATCGCCAGGTTGTGAAATTAATTTCTTGGGTCGCCATTTTGAAACGCGCGAGTATCGCAAAGCGGAAGACGAGGAAGGGGAAAACGATGGGGTGGAGGTGGAGAAGGAAGGGGGGAGGAAGTCCGGCCCGTGCTGCAGCGGCGGCGGCAATCACCGAGACGTGCTAGCCCTGTCGTGAGGTTGCCCGTCGGGCCCTCGAATCACTCCCGATTCCTGACCACGAGCAGTGCTCACGCGGCGCGAGTGACGCATGATCCGCGACGCGGATCGGGTCCGAGACCTTGCGAAGAAATTGCGGAAGTTCAGCTCCCGCACTGCAACATGCAGGAAGGAGGCAGAGAAGCTGGCGCGCGAGCTAGGTCTCGATCGCTTCCTGCACTAGATATAAACAGGTATGATCCTGTGGACAGGCAGCAGGCATGCGTTGACCGAGCTCCTGCAGAAACGAAACAATCTCTTGCTTCCTCCCTCCTCTTTCATCATCGCCGCCCTAGTCCTCCTGTTACATTATGCATTCATGGTGCTGCTGCTGCGATGGCTCCTCGCCCCTTCCTACTGGGTTCGTCCTTCTCCTGTCCTTCGTTCCCGCCCCCGCTATTGTTTAACAAGCCTTGAGACATATTCCTCGTCTTATCGATTGCTGTTCTGTGAGTCGTGCAACATTACGCATCCCATGTAGGTCGCACTACAAATCGCCGCGCCTGCACTGTCACGGTTCCTGCTAATGTTTCCCTACTCCGCTTGCCACTTGATGCCATTGGGTTGGGTACGTCGCAGGGTAATTTGTTTTGTATTGAGAGCCCCATGATCGCCGTGATGCAGCAGGCATGGCTGCAGAGGTTCTGCACCTGCCAGCTCGCGCCCAGAGCGTGAGGCCTCTCCGGCGAAACGCTGGTGTAGGCACCCTCGACCCCTTCCCACTCCGGAGCCTCACGATCAGCCCGATCAGCAGGCATCGCGCGGGGGCGCTCCAAGGGGCAGCCGCCAGGGAGCGCTCGGTCGCCACAGGCGAAGAAAGTTTCACTGAGACGCTCCACGGACGGGAGTGCCACGAGCTGAGATGCACGTGTGGGAATCCCCGCGTCGAATGGTTTCAATCTGGGCGTTTTTTCCCCCCGATTGCAGGGCCGCCATCGACAAACGGCGGGAACCACTGCAGACGCCAGCCAAGTGCGTCACACCCGCGAGGTGCGCCGCGCGTGCTGGGGCACCCCCCTCGGCGCCCCTCCTCCTGTTCGTCCTCCTCCTTGTCTTCGTCCCCCTCCTCCTCCTCGTCCTCCTCCTCGTCCTCCTCCTCCTCCTCCTCCTCCTCCTCCTCCTCCTCCTCCTCCTCCTCCTCCTCCTCCTCCTCTCCTCCTCCTCCTCCTCCTCCTCCTCCTCCTCCTCCTCCTCTCCTCCTCCTCCTCCTCCTCCTCCTCCTCCTCCTCCTCCTCCTCCTCCTCCTCCTCCTCCTCCTCCTCCTCCTCCTCCTACTCGCCCTATCAAACAACAGTGCAAAATGAGTGAAGGGCGCCGGCACATGGTCCCAAGATTGTCCCGCAGCGCGCACTCTGCATTGGTTTTGACATGGATGGTGGGCCTGTGCGCACGGGGCCAGAAAATGCTCCCTCACCCGTGACACCAAGAAAATATACATTGGTCGCTGGGTTTCCGGGAGTGCTCCATTTTTTCCGGCGTCACCTCAACATACTTATACTATATGTGCGTCGCCCCCCACAGGGGCGACGCGCGCACCGAGAAATCTCCTAGTATATGCGTCGTAGCGGGCGCTTTCTGGCCACACCGCTCGGGAAACGATATACTACAAGATGGGTATACTACATGTTCGGGTCGGACGCGCGCCTCCAAGGAGGACACATAGTATTAGTACGTCCCTGTGCGTCCCATTTTTTGCCGCAAAGTACATTATAGTTGTGCTGTTCTTGTGACAGAGATGATGGGGAGGGCGCTGTCGCTGGCCAAGGGCCAGCAGAGTGGGGAATAGTGCACATCAGTCAGGAGCAGTGGGGCACACCTTCCCGAAGGGGAAAGAGGGGGTCGGAAGCACGAGCTCTATAACCACCCACGCCCTAAACGGCTAGTGGGATTCGGTGTTCTCCCGGTCCGTCCCTTCCCCCTCCTTCGTTTACCCCTCCTTCCCTCTTTTCGTCCCCCTCCTCTCCTCCCCTCTTCTCCCTTCCCTTCCTCCCCCTCCTGCCCCTCCTCCTCGTCGTAATTAGCCATGTTGGCTCAAGCCGTTGCAGCCCAAAGCATGTAGGGCTCAAGCCGCCATGTTATCGTGCCCTTGTGGGTGCATGTTTTTGGATGCTAGACATCGGCCGAGGGTCTCGAGAAGGCGTTGATTCCCTCGAAGCGTCAATCGAAAAGTGCGGTCGGACAGCACACTGGCGCGCAGCACTGGAGGTGCTCCGCGAAGGAGTCCGATTAGGTGTGCAACTCTCCCCAGGCCTCTACATTGCGACTGCCATCGCATGCAGGCAAGGCGGGCAGTGGCAACACGTACTGCAGGTGATCAATGGGATGCGGGAGGCGAAGGTGGAGCCCAACGGCATCTTCACTACATTGCAGGGCCCTGTGCGTATCGGAAAGGTCGGGGCCTGATTTGAGGTGCGGGCCCCCCCCCCCTGGCGGCCCGGGGGACCCCTCGAGAGCCCCGTGAGCTCGAACAGAGCGCCAAGATGCCACCAAGGTGACCGCCGCAGGCCCAAGATAATTCTCCGTAGTGCCCGAAATGAGTGAGGGTCGCTCCAGAGCGGCCCGATATTGCCCCAAGAGGCCCTCAAGACGCGCCAGAGGCTTCCAAGAGGACTCCCAGGAGGTCCCGAAGAGGCCAGAATCCTTTAGTTCGCTAAGCGTTCTTTCGAAAACTCAAGCATTCTCGCCGTCGCAGGCTTTCGCCAGTCCAAGACCCCAAGAGGCCCCGAGCTGGCTCCAAGACAGAAGGCCCTACTGGACGGTTTCAAGACGGCCTCAGAGGCCCCCAAGACGCTTCCAGAGGCCTTCCAGACGCCGAGGCCCCGAAGAAACCCCGAAAGGCCCCCAATAGGCGTTCGTCGGCCCACAAGAAGTCCCAATGACGCCTCCCAGAGGCCTCCCCCCAGAGGTACCTAAGGGCTCCGACGAGACTCCAAAGGGACCCACGGGAGCGCCCTCGTACGGTACAGCTTCTCCGTTTGCTTCCCAGACGCCCCACTGGCCCTCCGGGCACGCAGCACCGATCAGCGAAGCAGCAGCACGCCACGGCCAGCACCAGGCCGCAGGCGACGAGAAAAACGCAGGAAGCGGCAGGGGTGCGGACGGGCAAAACTAGCTTGGCGAAGGACCCAACCATATGCAGTTGTGAGTTCCGCAGTTGTGGGGGAGACGCATGCGAATGTTGCCACTGGGGCTTTCGGTGGAGCCCCCTGTGGGCCACGAAGCGCTGTACTGGGTGGGGGAGACTCATGCGAACTTTGCCACTGGGGCCTCCGCTGGAGCCCCCTATGGGCCACGAAACGGTGTTCTGCGTGGGGGAGGCGCATGCGAACGTTGCCACTGGGGCCTTCGGTGGAGCCCCCTCTGCATGCGAACGTTGCCACCGGGGCCTTCGGTGGAGCCCCCTATGGGCCACGAAACGGTGTACTGGGTGGGGGAGACGCATGCGAACGTTGCCATTGGGGCCTTCGGCGGAGCCCCCTATGGGCCACGAAACGGCGTTCTGGGTGGAGGAGACGCATGCGAACTTTGGCACTTGGACCTTCGGTGGAGCCCCCTACGGGCCACGAAACGGTGTTCTGCGTGGGGGAGACGCATGCGAATGTTGCCACTATGTCCTTCGGTTCTGCTCCCTATGGGCCACGAAACGCTGTACTAGGTGGGGGAGACGCATGCGGACTTTGCCACTGGGGCCTTCGGTGGAGCAGCTCCCTATGGGCCACAAACCTTGTACTGGGTGGGGGAGACGCATGCGGACTTTGCCATTGTGTTTTCGGTGAAGCTCCCTATGGGCCACGAAACGGTGTTTTGAGTGTGGGAGACGCATGCGAACGTTGCCAGTGGGACCTTCGGTGGTGCTCCTTATGGGCCACGAAAAGGTGCACGGGGTGGGGAGACACATGCGAACGTTGCCATTGGGGCTTTCGGCGGAGCTCCCCATGGGCCACGTAACGCTGTACTAGGTGGGGGGACGCATACGAACGTTGCCACTGGGACCTTCTGTGGTGCTCCTACTGGACCACGAACTGTGTTCTGGGGGGGAGACGCATGCGAATGTTGCCACTGGGACCTTCGGTGGAGACTCCTATGGGCCACGAAACGGTGTACTGGGTGTGGGAGACGCATGCGAACGTTGCCACTATGACCTTCGGTGGTGCTCCCAATTGGCCACGAAACGGTGTTCTGAGTAGGGAGTGCGCATGCGAACGTTGCCTTTGAAACCTTCGGTGGAGCTCCCTATGGGCCACGAAACGTTGTATTGGGTGGGGGGACGCATGCGAACATTGCCACTGGGACCTTCGGTGGAGCTCCCACTGGGCAGCGAAACGGTGGTCTGGGTGGGGGAGACGCATGCGAATGTTGCCAGTGGGACCTTCTGTGGAGCTCCCTATGGGCCACGAAACGCTGTACTGGGCGGGGGAGACGCATGCGAGCTTTGCCATTGGGGCCTTCGGTGGAGCTCCCTACGGGACACGAAACGATGTACTGGGCGGGGGGACGCATGCGAACGTTGCCACTGGGGCCTTCGGTGGTGCTCCCCATGGTCCACGAAACGGTGTACTGGGCGGGGGAGGCGCATGCGAACGTTGCCACTGGGGCCTTCGGTGGAACTCCCTATGGGCCTCGAAACAGTGTACTGGGTGGGGGAGACGCACGTGGACTTTGCCACTGGGGCCTCCGGTGGCGCTCCTTATGGGGCCACGAAACGTTGTACTGGGTGGAAGGGGCACCTCCAGAAGGCCTCTGGGCCGCTCGCCGACGGCTCCCTCGCTCCCAGCTCGGCCCAATACGGCCTCCCAGAGAGCCTTCAGCACGCTCCCCGACGGCCCCAGAAGGTCCCTGGGCCGCTCGCCGACGGCTCCACGACACCCACATCGCCCCAGACGGCTCCCCACGAGCTGCAAACCAAGCCCCATACCCCATACCCCATACCGAGCCCCCGACACCCAGAAGGCTCCTGGGCCGCTCGCCGACAGCTCCCTCGCCTCCAGCTAGCCTCCCAGAGAGCCTTCAGCACGTTTCCCGACGGCCCCAGAAGGCCAATGGACGTTCACCGACGGCTCCAGGACACTCGGATCGCCCCCAGACGGCTTCCCGCAAGCCCCAAACCAAGCATCATACCCACATCGAGCCCTCTCGCCCCCCGACGGCCTCCCAGATAGCCTCCAGGACATCCCCCAACGGCTCCAGAAGGACCGCCCCATGACGCCAGAAGTTGCTCAACCCCACCCAAGGCCCTGGACTACTCTGAGCTTCCCCAGACCCTCTCGGGAGCTTCCTGTCGACCCCAGCCGCGGCCGCGGCATGCTCTCACGGTCTCAGATACCGTTGTTACGAGGCCTCGCAGTATTGGTGACAAGGGGGGGCCCTTCCTATGCGTTCACAAGCCGCAGACCAAGCCCCATACCCCACCCCGAGCCTAGACACTCTGAGCTATTCCAGATCTTCTCAACCGGCTCGTGTCGCTCCACAGCCGCACCACGCTCCAGACCCCACCCTGGCGCCCAGACCGCTCCGACCATTCTAACCTGCCGCACACTCCACCCCGAGCCCTAGACCAGTCTGAGCTGCCTCAGACCCTCCCAAGCGCCTCCCGTCGTACCTCGGGCGCGCCGCGCCCCAGACCCCAGCCTGGACCCTGGACCACTCTGAGCTCCCCCTGAACTCCTCGAGAGCCCTCAGAGCTCTTCAGGACCCACACTTTCGCGAAGCTGCTCGGGCACAACGAGCTGTTCTGCGACGGCTTCGTCGCGCCTGACTTGGATGCACTGCGCGGGCCGCCGAGAAGAGCGGCGACACATGCGCGTTTGGGACCGACACCTGGAGCTGCCAGCCGTGGATTTTCCACGGGTCACCTCCTCCATCCACGCCGTCCCCTCCAACCTCCCCTTACCCGCGAGGCCCCAGAGACGCTCCACTTCCACGTACACGCCAGAGCGGGCAAATTCCGCGGCCGGAGGCCGCGGGTCAGCCCTAGTCAGCTACAACGTTGGGATCAGCGCGTGCGGGAAGGGCGGTCAGTGGCAGCGGGCTCTGGCGCTGCTCCGCGAGATGTGGGAGACGAAGCTTGAGCCCGACGACATCTCAAATACGGTGCCGCGATCAGCACGTGCGAAAAGGCACTCCAGTGGCAATGAACCCGCCCCCCTGGGACGCTCTGGCCGGGCCCTCGCCGGACGGTCCAAGACGGCCCGAGGCGGCCCAAGCGCGCCCTGAGACCGCGCAAGATGGCTTGCAGATGGCCCAAGAGCCTCCCATGACGCCCATCAGATGATTTTCGCGTGCCCGCCCCCTGGAGCTTCGAGCAGCCAGCGGCGGTCCCAGGGGCTTCCCAGATCGCCCCCAAGACGGCCAAAGAGGCTGCCAAGACCTTTCTCGTAGTGTACGTCGGGCCGCGCTGGCCGAGCCCTCGGAGCCGCCACGGTGGCCTCTGAAGCGGCCCAAGACAATCCAAGGCGGCCCGAGGCGGTCCACGGGCGATCTGAGACAGTCCACGACGGCCCAACACAGCCCTAAAGGCCCCTTCTCACGCCCTCAGACGTCCCCACGAGGGTCCCCAGGACGGCCTCCAAAGGCAAAATTCACAGATCATTCGTTTAAAGTGTGTTTCAAAGATTTTGGTTTTCTCCTTCTCTCGGGCTTATGCAGCCCCAAAATCGCCCAATAGGCTCCCAAGAGGGGTTCCAGACGGCCAGGGAAAGGCCGAAGCAGCCCTAAGAAAAGCCCACAACGGCCCTGGGAGCTGTCACTTTGAAGACATTTCAATGTGACAGCTAAGAGAACCCTCCTGTGCCCTCTGGGGGCTGTCTCAGGAGCCCTCAAGGATCTAACTGGGCGGCTCTGAAGTGCCCCAGGTTGCCACAAGGGAAGCCAAGAGAGGCCGAGAGAGCTGCAAGAGGGGCCCACACCCGTACTGCCAGCTGACGCTTCCAAAGCTGCTCAAGTGACGGATCAGAGAATCCTTTTTGGGCCTTCTGGGGGGTTACATCTGCTCGCAACGCCTCGTAGTCACAGCCCGCAGGTTCTTCGACCATGAAGGTCACACCACAAGCACACAAGAGTCATCTATCCCGCAATAATTACCGGGAGCAGCGCGGGGAAGTTTCAAATCGTGGCAAAGCTGGGGGGGGGCACCAGGAAGGCCCGCCAGGAGGGCTTGCGCCTCCCAGACGGCCCCGAAGGTGCTTCCAATACGGCCGAGGATGGCCTCAATATGGTCCAAGATGGCCCAAGACGGCCTCCAGACGGCCGAACAGCCTTCAAGAGGCCCCCAGCTCCAGGAGCACTCCCAGCAGGGCATCCCGGTGGAAAAAGCTAAGGTTTTTTGCAGGTTGTTTCGACATCTGTAGCATGCAGGACTTCTGGGCCCTTGCAGCGCCCACGACGGCCCAGCAGCCCCCAAGATCGCCCCAAGCCAGCACAAGAGGTTCCCAAAGAGAATGCCACGGCAGATCGAGAGAGCCCCCGGGACAGCCCAAGAGAGCCCGAAGACGACCCAGGAGGCGCCCAAGACGACCCAAGATGACCCAGAGATAGCCTTAAGTCGGGCCTGTCCCTTTACAGGGGGAATATGCAAAAATAGTCAAAAAGATAGTATGGTCACGATTTTTTTGAATATTCTTGAATCATGTTTAGATATTTCGGGGGGTACTTTCTATGTTTCCCCAAAAAATCCGCCTGTAGGGGGACACGCCCGAGCTAAAGATAGCCCACTAGAGCCCCCAGTGCATCCCAAGACGGCCCCAAGAGCGCTCCCAGAGAGCCCGAAGAGGCCCCACAACGGATGCTACAACGCACCACCCCGCTTCAGATTCCGTCGGGTGTTTTCTGAGAGCCCTCTTGGGGCCGTCTTCGGGCCTCCAGGCTCCTCGGCTGCATCATCTACGACATCTGTCAGCCAGTAGGCCGTCGCCGCCTGCGAAATTGCTCCACGGGTACACACGGGTCAGTTATAATGCTGGGATCAGCGCGTGCGAGAAAGGCAAGCAGTGGCAGCGGGCTCTGGCGCTACTGAGTGAGATGCGGGAGACGCAGCTCGAACCCGACGTCATCTCTCCTACATGGCGGGAGCAAGCGCGTGCCGGAAGGAAAAAAGGCCAAATGTCGGTAGAGCCCTCCGGCGGGGCCCCGCGCGTTGCTGGGCGGCCCCGAGGCGCTCCTCGACGGCCTCGGAGGGCCTCCCCGCAGAGGCTCGAGGGCCCCGGACGGCCCCGAGATGGTCCAAGAGGGCTTGTGAGACGGTCCACGAGCGCTCGAAGACGCTCCAGATAGCCTCCAGACGGCCCCAAGAGGCCCCCGAAACGTTCCAAGTGGGCTCCCAGAAGACGCCCGAGAGAGTTCGCAAAGCAAAAATCTGTCCAAAACCTACAGAAAACGTGCATGTTCGCAACTCCCGTGCTTGTCGTTCTGAAACCGTCCACGACGCCAAAACGAGCCCCCAAGATCGGCCCAAGATGTTTCGGGAGGCCCCCGTGAGGCTCCCAAGACGGCCCCCGACGGCCCCAGGACTGCTCCTTTGGCGCCCACTACAGCCCAAGAATCAGTCAACACAGCCCCAAGAGTGGCCACAGATGGCCCAAGGGGGCCTCCTGACGGTCCAAAAACTGCCCCACACGAGGCCCCCAAAACTCTCCAAGTGGCATCGCAGAAGACGCCCGAGAGAGCCCGCACAAGCAAAACTCGTTCCAAAACATACAGAAATCGTACAGATTATTCGCAAATCTTGCGTTTTTCGTTTTCCAAGCGTCCACGACGACAAGATGGGGCCCCAAGATCGGCCCAAGACGTCTGAGGAGGCCTCCATGAGGCTCCCAAGACGGCCAAAGGGGCCCAAGACGGCCCCAGACGGCCTCTAAATGCACCCACGAGGCTTCCAAAACGTTCCAAGTGGGCTCCCAGAAGACGCCCGAGAGAGCCCGCACAAGCAAAACTCGTTCCAAAACCTAGAGAAAACGTGCATGTTTGCAACTCCTGCGCTTTTAATTTCCCAAGCGTCCACGACGACAATACGGGCCTCCAAGATCGGCCCAAGACGTCTCAGAAGGCCCCCATGAGGCTCCCAAGACGGCCCCCGACAGCCCCAGGACGGTTCCTTTGGCGCCCATTGCAGCCCAAGAATCAGCCAGCACAGCCCCAAGAGTGGCCACAGATGGCCCAAGGGAGCCTCCTGACGGTCCAAAAATTGCCCCATGGCCGCCCCAGACGGCCCCAAGAGGCACCCACGAGGCCCCCAAAACGCTCCAAGTGGCATCCCAGAAGACGCCCGAGAGAGCCCCCACAAACAAAAAAACGCTCCAAAACTTACAGGGAAACACGCATGTTCGCAATTCTCGAACTTTCCGTTTTCAAAGCGTCCACAACGACAACACAGGCCCCCAAAATCGCCCCACGACGTCTCAGGAGGCCTCCATGAGGCTCCCCAGGCGGCCCCCGACGGCCCCAGGACGGCTCTTGCGGCGCTCATTACAGCCTAAGAAGCAGTCCACACAGCCCCAAGAGCGGCCGCAGATGGCCCACGAGGGCCTCCAAACGGTCCCAAGACGGTCCAGAAACGCCCACGACGGCCCCAGACGGCCCCAAGAGGCACCCACGAGGGCACCAAAACGCTCCAAGTGAGCTCCCAGAAAACGCCCGAGAGAGGCCGCACAAACAAAAGTCGTCCCAAAACCTACGGGAGACGTACATGTTCGCAATGTTATTCTTTTCGTTTTCCCAGCGTCCACGACGACAATACAGGCATTCAACATCGCCCCAAGGCGCCTCAGGAAGCCTCCATAAGGCTCCCCAGACAGCCCAAGAAGCAATCAAGACAGCCCCGAGAGCGGCCAAAGATGGCCCAACGAAGGCGTCCAGACGGTCCCCAGACGACCCGCCCTACAGGCGCCCAAGACGGCCCCAGACGACCCCACGAGGCGCCCAAGACGGCCCTGGAGGGCTCCAGGAGGCACCCAAGACGGCCCAAGACATCCCAAGAGGGCCCCAAAAGGCCCCCGGGAGGGCGAAGCGAAACCCCGAGAGGCCCCCGAACAGGTTTCGAAGGAGAACGCAGCGCCAGCCGTCAGGCTGTGAAGAGGCAGCCATAAAAGAGTGGCCACAGCCCTCGGAGGGCCCCCCCACCGAGCCTCGACGGCACCAAGACGGCCCCGAGGCGGCTCCGAGAGAGAGAGAGAGAGAGAGAGAGCGCCCCCGACGGCCCGAGCGGACTCCCAGCGAGGGCCCGGGCGGCCCAAAAGTGCCCGACGACAGGCGAAAAGCCTCCCAAGACGGCCCAGGAGACTCCCCGTCAAGGCCCGAGACGGCCAAAACATGGATGTTCCATTGCTTTTTGAAGGATTGCCAGGCTCTTGCCCGAGAATCCTTCAAAAAGCGGGAGCTGGCGCTTCACCGCGAGATGTGGAACGAGAAATTGGAACCCGACGTCATCATGATTGCCTTTCGACCCTACATCCGCCCCACCCCCTTGCGACCACATGATGACGTGGACGGAGTCCACGGGTCCACCCTAGTCTCCTACAGCGTTGGGATCAGCGCATGCGAGAAGGGCGAGCAGTGGCAGCGGGCTCTAGCGCTGCTGAGCGAGATGCGGGAGACGAAGCTGGAGCCCGACGTCGTTTCTTCTACAATGCAGTGACCTTTGCGTGCGAAAAGGCTTCTCTCCCGAAAAGCTTCCTGGGGGCCTTCTGGGACGCCCTGCGAGTTCCCCGGGCACTCCGAGACGGCTTCAGGGGGTCCCAAGATGCCCCAAAACAGTTCAGAGACGCTCAAGAGGGCGCCCAGACGCCCCAAGAGGACCCCAAGTGAGCCCCAGGGTGGCCCCAGAGGCTTCCAAGGCAGGCCAGGAGGCTCCCGAGACGGCCCAGGAGGACCCCAAGGAGAGCCCCAAGATGCAAAAGGTGTCCCATTCCCGTCGGAAAATTTATATGTGTCATATGTCCGTTCCTTTCGTCTGCACAGTCTCCAAGTCGGCTGCACAGGCCCCCAAGATCGCCCCAAGACGCCCCCAGGAGGGTCCCAAAGCGGCCCGAGACTGCTCCAGAGGCGCCCGAGACGGCCCAAAAATCACCCAAGACAACCCCAGGATGGCCCGAGAGGCGCCCAAGAGGGCCCCACATCGCGCCAAGACGGCCCAAGAAGCACTCAAGACGGCCCAAGAGGGCCCCGAGAAACCACAAACAGCCCCCACGAGGCATTGGATGCTTCTCTCTTGGGGAGCGTCGAACTTCCAGCGTCGTCTTGGGGGCCTCGCCTCTTGGACCCTCTGGGAGCCATCTCTGGGCCTTTTGGGGACGTCTTGGGGCGGTGCGCTCGAAAGGTCGATTCGTGTCCTCGCACTGGGGCCCGTCTTAGGGAGTTCATGGGGCCCTCTTGGGCCGTCTGGGAAGCATCTTAGCCCGTCCTGGAGACCTCTTGGGCCGTATCGGCGCCCTCTTGCGGGCCTCTTAGGCCGAGCCCCCCGGCTCCGTTCTCACCACGGTACCAGATAAATGTTTCATTCGGCCCAGGCGAAGAGCAGATCAAATGATTACGTCGACCCGCCCCGCAGAAGCCATGATGAACACAGAGCGCGGCGTGGGAAACAGCTTCTGTCCACACCATGCCGTGCCTACACGGGTGTGCTTCCATGGACACCGCCTCCACCACCGCGTTCCTGCCTTCAGGCCTGCTTGCCTGCATCCCTCGCCCACCTCCCCCTCCAGCGGCCCCCTACTCCATCCACGCCGTCCCCTCCAACCTCCCCTTACCCGCGAGGCCCCCGGAGACGCTCCACTTCCACGTCCGTCCACACCATGGCGGGCAGATTCCGAGGCCAGAAGGCCGCGCTCCAGCCCAGGTCTCTTCTCTATGGCGGACATCAGCGCGTGCCAGAAGGGCAAAACAGCGCATGTGGACCACTGCGCCCCCTGGAGGGCCATTTTCGACACCCCTCACGAAGATCCTGGCCCCCGAGCGTCACAAATCGAGCCCTCCGCCGAAAGACGCGCCGCCATAAGAGGCCCCAAGGAGCGCCCAAGAGGCCCCCTAAAGGCCCCCGACAAAGACGGCTCAACAGGCCTCCAAGCGCGTCCCCAGACGGCCCAGGGAGCCCCAAGATGGCACAAGAGGCGCCCAAGACGGCCCCAGAGGACCCCAAGCCAGGACCCCCAGGAGCGATCCAAGAGGCAAAAATTGCCTCATACGCTTCGGAAAACGTGCGTTTTTGATCTGCTCGCTCTTTTCGTCTTCACCGCGTCCAAGACGGCTAAACAGGCCTTCCCGATCGCCCCAAGACGCCCCCAGAGCACCCCAGGAGGGCCCCCAAACGGCTAGAGAGGCCCTCCACCTCGCCCCAAGACGCGCCCAGAGGGCCCCAGGACGGCTCCAGAAGCGCCCGAGACGGCCCAGGACGCACCCAAGACAGCCCCAATAGCAACCAAGAGTGGCCAACGGGACGGCTTCGAGAGGCTCCAGGGGGCGTCAAGACGGCCTCAGATCACCCTTGGGAGCCCCAGACCCTTGGGAGCCCCAAGGCAGCCCCAGAGGCCCCCAAGGCAGGCCAGGAGGCTCCCAAGACAGGAGAGCCCCAAGAGGCCCAAATCGTCCCACTCCCGACTGGAACCGCACATTTTCGCTATGTTCCGTTTTTTCGTCCTGGCAGCGTCCAAGACAGCTAGAGAGGCCCTCCACCTTGCCCCAAGATGCGCCCAGAGGCCCCCAAAGGGCCCCACACGGCCCCGGGACGGCTCCAGAGGCGCCCGAGACGGCCCAGGACGCACCCAAGACAGCCCCAAGAGCAGCCAAAAATGGCCAACGGGACAGCTCCGAGAGGCTCCAGGGGGCGCCAAGACGGCCTCGGAGCACCCTTGGGGGCCCCACGACATTCCCAGAGGCCCCCAAGGCAGGCCAGGAGGCTCCCAAGACGGTCCAGGAGGGCCTCCAGGAGAGCCCCAAGAGGCCCAAATTGTCCCATTCCCGACTGGAACCGCACATTTTCGCTATGTTCCGTTTTTTCGTCCTGGCAGCGTCCAAGACGGCTAGAGAGGCCCTCCACCTCGCCCCAAGACGCGCCCAGAGGCCCCCCAAGGGCCCCACACGGCCCCAGGACGGCTCCAGAGGCGCCCGAGACGGCCCAGGACGCACCCAAGACAGCCCCAAGAGCAGTTAAGAATGGCCAACGGGACGGCTCCGAGAGGCTCCAAGGGGCGCCAAGACGGCCTCAGAGCAGCCTTGGGAGCCCCACGATTGGGTGCCGGCGGTAGACCGTCAACCAGGCTACCGCAGGGGACCTCGTAGAGCTCCTGACTGGCATACAAGTGCTGTCGATGCGGGCAGTAAGCTGCCTGGAATATCAGCTTGGAAACTAGGGGAATCATTTTTGGGGGTTCTAATGGAAAGTTAGGTGCACAAATATTTTGAGTATTATAGCAGCGAGAGACCTCAAATGTGCAAGCGAACGAGACAAGGGCCCCTACAGTTGCAAAGAAACTTGATTCCCAAGCGAATCGCCAATTCCAAAGAAATTCTAGACAATATTTAGTTTCTTCGGGAACTTTTATTTTTAGGTCGGTTCCTGGAAGTGAATCGATAGAAATATTGTTGCTACAACCCTTTCAGCAGCAAACGCAGCGTGAACCAATGCTCACTAAAACAAGATTGGATCTTCAAACGAATTGTCGAGGCATAACCACTACAGGTGCGAAAAATACTGGTTCTCAAAACGAATTTTTCAAATCTCTCACAATGTTCGCCCAACCGACCCAAAGTTCCCACATTGTCCGCCCTGGCCGGGTCGGTCAAGTAGCTCCACCCCGCGCCGGAAGTCCTCTAGCTCATCGCACCGAAGAGCTCTACGAGGTACAGCCCCAGAGGCCCCCAAGGCAGGCCAGGAGGCTCCCAAGACGGCCCAGGAGGGCCTCCAGGAGGGCCTCCAGGAGAGCCCCAAGAGGCCCAAACCGTCAGTCCTGACGGGAAACGTACATTTTCAATATGTCTTGCTTTTTCGTCCTCGCAGCGTCCAGAAGGCTATACAGGCCCCCCAGCTCGCCCCAAGACGCGCCCAGACGCCCCCATGAGGGCGCCCAAAGGGCCACACACTGCCCCGGGACGGCTCCAGAGGCGCCCGAGACGGCCCAAGACGCACCCAAGACAGCCCCAAGAGCAGTTAAGAATGGCCCAAGATGGCTCCATCGCCCCGTCTCCAAGACGGCTGTAGAAGCCCCCGCCGCCCCGTCTCCAAGCCTTTCCGTTTGGACAATGTCCAAGACAGTTTCTGGGACGTCCGGGACGGCTCCAGAGGCGCCCGAGACGGCTCAAGAAACACCAAAGACAGCCCCAGAGGCGCCCAATATTGGCCCAAGATGGCCCCAAGATTGTTCCAAGATGGTCCGAGAGGCGCCCAAGGCGGCCCCGCATCGCCCCAAGACGGCCCAAGATGCACCCAAGACTGCCCAAGAGGGCTCCGAGAGACCCACCCCCAGGAGGACGAAGAGAGGCCCCCAAGCGGCCCCGGAGAGGCCTTGGATGTTTCTCCCTTGGGGAGCGTCGAACTTCCAGCATCGTTGTGCGGGCTTCTTGGACCCTCCGGGAGCCATCTCTGCGCTATTTGGGGACGTCTTGGGGAGGTGCGCTCGAAAAGTCGATTCGTGTCCTCGCACTGGGGCCCTTCTTAGGGAGTTCCGTCTCGCCGCCCTCTTGCGGGCTTGCCGCGCCCACTGGCCCCATTGTCACCACACTGCCAGATAGAATTATCATTCGGCCCCGGCGAAGAGCAGATAAACTTCTCACGGCTACCCTCCCCGCAGAAGCTATGATGAACACAGATTGCGGCGTCAGAAACAGCTTCTGTCCACACCATGTCATGCCTACATGGGTGTGCTTCCACTGACACCGCCTCCACCACTGCGTTCCTGCCTTCAGGCCTGCTTGCCTGCATCCCTCGCCCACCTCCCCCTCCAGCGGCCCCCTACTCCATCCACGCCGTCCCCTCCAACCTCCCCTCACCCGCGAGGCCCCCGGAGACGCTCCACTTCCACGTCCACGCCAGGGCGGGCAAATTCCACGGCCGGAAGGCCGCGGGTCAGCCTTAGTCAGCTACAACGCTGGGATCAGCGCGTGCGAGAAGGGCGAGCAATGGCAGCGGGCCCTGGCGCTGCTGAGCGAGATGCGGGAGACAAAGCTGAAGCCCGACGTCTTCAGCCACAACGCAGGGATCAGCGCGTGCGAGAAGGGCGAGCAATGGCAGCAGGCCATGGCGCTGCTCAGCGACATATGGAAGGCAAAGCTCGAGCCCAATGTCATGAGCTTCAACGCTGGGATCAGCGCGTGCGGGAAGGGCGAGCAGTGGCGACGGGCTTTGGCGCTGCTGGGCGAGATGCGGGAGGCGAAGCTGGAGCCCAACGTCATCTCTACTACAGTGACGCGATCAGCTCGCGCGAAGGCGCGCCCCGGTGGCAATGCACCCGCCCACAGGGACGCTCTGGTCGAGCCCTCGAAGCAGCCATGGTGGCTTTCGGAGCTGCCCTGGACGGTCCAAGACGGCCCCGGGCGGCCCCAGCGTGCGCTGAGACCGCCGCGCAAAATGGCTCTAAGACGGCCCAAGAGGCCCCCAAGACGCCCCCAAGAGGGTCCCCAGGACCGCCCCCAGAGGCAAAATTCACGGATCACTGTTCTGTGGTTTTTCCCAGATTTTCCCAGTCTCGCCTTCTCGGACTTGGTGCAACACACGACGGCCCGAGGGGCCTTACAGATCGCCCCAAGACGGCCCAAGAGGCTCCCCAAGAGGAGCCCCAGACGGCCCAGGAGAGCTCGAAGAAGCCCAAGACGATTCCAAGACGACCCCAGCGAAGGCCCCGAAAAAGCGCTCAGGTGGTCACAAGGGAAGCCACAAGAGGCCCGAGAGAGCCCTGAGAGGGGCCCACAACGGCCCCAGGAACTGTCACCTTGAAGGCTGCTCATCGTTCCTCCTCCTCCTCCTCCTCCTCCTCCTCCTCCTCCTCCTCCTCCTCCTCCTCCTCCTCCTCCTCCTCCGCCTTCGCCTCCGCCTCCGCCTCCGCCTCCGCCTCCGCCTCCGCCTCCGCCTCCTCTTCCTCCTCCTCCTCCTCCTCCTCCTCCTCCTCTCCCCTCCTCCTCCTCCTCCTCCTCCTCGGTCTCCTCCTCCTCCTCCTCCTCCTCCTCCTCCTCCTCCTCCTCCTTCGATCAGAGAGCCCTTCTTGGCCCTCAGGAGGTTTTCCCCAGGAGACCTCGGGGATCTGGCCAGACGGCTCTGGAATGCCCCGGGTGGCCACGAGGGAAGCCAAGAGAGGCCAGAGAGCCCGAAGAGTGGCCCGCGGTTAGGGTTTAGGGTCGGAGTAAGGGTTAAGGGTTAGGGTAGGGGCCTACTAGGCATGGCCACGAGTACACCTGGACCGCGAACCCACCTGCGGTGGCCGTCACTCCCACCCGCAAGCCACCCCACCATAAAGATCATCTCTCCCCTCGTTATAACGACATCGAATACAGCGTCGACGTCGACGACGACGACGACGGCGACGACTGATGTGCGATCCAGTTGGCACGCGAGTGCTCGAACGGGCGGGAAGAGTCGGGTCGGGCGGAAGAGATTCTGCACGCATGCGCAGCAAAGGCTGTTTTTTGGAATAGGTAGATCGGCTCGCAACGGAAGGCATTTTGTATTGTAAAATACAAGAGATTCTGCACGCATGCGCAGGAAGTGCTATTTGTTGCAGTAGATGGAGCCGGTCTACATAACGGGGTCGCACTTTGTATTGTAAAATACAGGGGGTTCTGCACGCATGCTCAGGAAATGCTATTTTTTGCAATAGATGGAGCGGGGTCGCAACGGGGACTGGGCACTTTGTAATGTAAAATACAAGAGATTATGCGCGCATGCTCAGGAAATGTTTTTTTTTGCATTAGATGGAGCCGGGTCGCAACGGGGACTGGGCACTTCGTAGTGTAAAATACAAGAGATTCTGCGCGCATGTTCAGGAAATGTTACTTTTTGCAGTAGATGGAGCCGGTTTGCATCACGAGCGGTTTTGTAGTAGTCAGGGTTTAATAATTATAGGATTAGAGACTAAGGGTAGGAACTAGGGTTAGGGTAGGAGTTAGGGTTTGGATTTGGGGGTTGGGTTAGGGTTAAGGCTTAAGGTTAGGGGTTAGGGTTAGGGGTGAGGGGTGAGGGTTTAGGGTTGAGGTTAGGTTAGGGTAAGGGTAGGGCTGGGAGCCGTCACTGTGCAGGCTGCGCGAAGATGCGGATCAGAGAGCGCTCTTGGGCCGTCTGGGGGCTTGTCTCTGTGAGTGACACTTTTCAAGCACAGCCTTCAGGTTCTTCGGCCGCGAAAGTCCACACCACAGGCACACACAAACAAAAACTAATGTCTGCGACATTGCTGGCATATTTGCGCGCGAGGGGTCTGGGACTTGATGCGCCCACCGGCCCCCCCCCCAGCGCTCTCAGAGCCCCCAGGACGCTCCCAGCTGTCCCCAGAGAGTCCCCCGACGGCAACAGACGGTCCACTGACAGCTTTGCGACGCTCAAGAGGGCGTCAAGACGACTCAAGACTGCCCAAGACGGCCCCAAGCAAGACGACCCCACAGGCTTCCAAGACGCCTCACACGAGGGCCCGCAGAGGCAACACGTCATTCATTGTTGTTAGGTGTTTGAAGGATTTAGGCGTTCTCGCCTCTTCGGCTTCCCGACGCTCCAAGACGGCGTAAGAGACCCCCAAGATAGCCAGAAGACGGCCAAAGAGGCCTCCAAGAGGGCCCCAAAACGGCCCCGGGGGGGGCCCAGACGGCCCAAGAGGTTTCTAAAGCGGCCCAAGCGGCTTCTAAAGCGGCCCAAGAGGCCCGCAAGACTGCTCCAAGAGGGGGCCCAGACGGGGGACCCGAACTGACACTTCGAGCCCTCGGCCCGAAGAGGCTTTCAGGAGGCCCCACGAGGCCCCCAAGACGCCCCAGAGAGGCCCGAAAACTGTTCCCAAGAGGCCCCATCAAGTGCCTCCAAGAGGCCCTTGCAAGCGCTCCCAGGAGACCCCAAGAAGCATCCCTGAGGACTGACCCACAATCCAGGCACGGTGGCGGGATGGGCCGACGGCCATGACATAGCCCTGCGACGCGCAGGAGGGCGCCGAGGCGGCTCCAACGGACTCGCAGGGACCCCCCAAGGCGGCCGGAAAGGTTTTTCGTATAGGCGAGAAGGGCACCCAAGACGGCCCAGGAGGTTCCTGACAACGGCCCCAGAACGCTAAAAGCACGGATTCCCCGGCGATTCTCGAACATCTTTCAAGCTTATGTTGTTTCGGGTCCAGGGCGGGCCCAGACGGCTCCGCAAGCCTTTCGGGACGCCCCGCGACGGCAACGAAAAGCGTCGAAGAGGACCCCAAACGGCCCCAAAGGACCCCAAGGCAGCCCAGAAGAGGTCCACCACCGCTCCAGAGAGTCCGGCTGAGAGCCCTAACTGCCCCCCGAGACAAACACAAGAGGGTCCCAAGAGCCCCTCGAGGAAGCCCCAAGCGCGTTCGAAGACGGCCCCGACCCCCAGCATTGCCCCAAAAGGGCCCACGAGCCTCCCAAGACGGCCCAATGGGGCCCAAACTCACTCAAGATGGCCCCAAGAAGCTCGGAAGCCCAGAAGAGTGCCCGAAGAGTGCCCAGCCGACACTCCTCAGACTCCGTGGCGGTAGAGCACGGGCGCGCGAGAAGGGCAGCCTGTTTCCTTGGGCCTGGCCCCGGGCGGCGGTGCCTCTGCAGCTCCGCTCGTGGGGCGGGCGGGAGGGACATGATAACATTCTCACCTGATCCTAAATCCATAAGATTTGGTGCAGACGTTGTTGTTTTTGTTGGGGTTTTTGTTCGCGTCTTTCTTGGGTTTTTTTGGGGTTTTTTGTTGAGTGTTTTGTTCGGGGGGCGACGCCGCCCTCGGCGCCCAGGCGATTCCCAGCTCGCCTCCACCTTGATCCGGCCGTGCCTGGCATGGCCTCGGAGTGCCCCGACGCGCCTCCAAGATGGCGCGACCCCCAGGCAGCCCCAGGAGGGCCCATGAGTTAAGTCGGGCCTGTCCCCCTACAGGGGGATGTTCGACGAAAAATAAAAGATACCCCACAAATAATCCCAAAATAGTCTGGGGACTATTTTTGAAATATTTTTGACCATGTTGGACTATTTTGGGGGTATTTTTTATTTTTCGTCGAAAATGCCCCTGTAGGGGGACACGCCCGACATAACCCCAGAGCTGCCCACGAAGCTCACAAGACGGCCCCAGGATGGCCCCACAAATCTCTCCGAGGGCCCACGACGTCCTCAGAGAGCCTCCCGAAGGCCCGAGAGGGCCTCCAGTGGGTGCCGCGATGGCGCAAGCGGCCCCACGGAGGGCCGCGAGACGGCCCTGGCGTGCCCCAGCACGACCTCCAGATCCAGTAGCAGCAGAGCCAGCAGCGGTGCCATGGGCAGTTAGCAGCAGCAACCATCAGCAGAAGTCAGCACTAGCAGGCATCAGCAGCCTGCACCGTTAAGCAGCATCGCCGAGCAGCAGCAGCAGCGCAGCAGCACCAACACGCGTTCATATCACCTGCGCCAAGCAGCACGCATCAAAGATCAACGGCTAGCACCAAGCAACAGCAATCAGCAGCACCAAACCGCAGCAAGCAGGTGCCAGCACCAGTCAACAGGTGGCAGCAGCAGAAACGATAAATAGCAACCAGCAGCAAGCACAAGCAAGCAATACTGAGCAAAATCGTCCCACAGCAAGTGGGAGCAAGCGAATCGAATAAAGCAAGCACACAAGAAATCAAGCAAGCAGGCCAGCATACAAGCAGGCAGGTATGCAAGCAGCATGTCGGACCCGCGTGATTACAGCTACGCGAGCAGAACTAGCAGAAAGCAGCTTCAGCCTCCGTTGGAGGCAGCAGCGGCAAGAAGGAGCAAGTAGCGACAGCAAGCATTATAAATACCAGCGTCGAGCAGCAAGCAGCAGCGCAAGCCGCGAGCCAGAAGAGCAGCAGCAAGCAACAGTTGGCTGCTGTAGGCGGCAGCCAGCAGGCAAACATGCGATGAAGCAACCAAGCAAACAGGCAAGCCTGATACCAGGCACGCTGACCAGGATGCGAACAGTAACTTCGGGGAGAAAGCTGTCAGGCCAGCAGGGCAGCAGCCATGCGCGCAGGCCAGCAAGAAAGCAGTAAGCAGGCATGCGATCCTAACCCTTGCATGCTAACAAGCTGTCGTGGACGAAAACGTGAATTGTGGTCGATTGCGGTCGAGTATGATTCTGCGTATGCCGCCGGCGTGGCACAGCGGCACATCCGAGCACGGGCGAACTTTCAGCTTGTTTTGCGGCTTCGCCACATCTTTGATCAGGTCGCTGGTCGCATTGCTTTCAGACAAGTCGAGAGCCATACTGGGCAATATTTGAACGAGCGTGCTGATCACCTGGCCAGTAGCGGTGCCTCTGGAAGTTTACGTGACCCGGTTGATGTACATCGTTGTGCGAGTTCCTCGAGCTAATCTGTGGCACTATGAGGTCAGACAGCCCCTGATCATTCTCAACACAAGCTGTCGTGGACGTAAGTCCACGGTTCAGCCTAGTCAGTTACAACGCTGGGGTCAGCGCGTGCGAGAAGGGCGAGCAGTGGCAGCGGGCTCTGGCGCTACTGAGCGACATATGGGAGACGAAGCTGAAGCCTAACAGCATCTACCCTTCAATACCGGGAGCAGCGCGTGGAAGGTGCAAGTCGTGGCAAAGCTGAGGAGGGTCGCAGGGAGGACCCGCCGGGAGGGCCTGTGCCTCCCAGACGGCCCAAGCGAGTCCAAAAAGATTCCAAGTTCGCCGAAGATGCTTGCAATACGGCCGAGGATGGCCTCAAGGTGGCCCAAGATGGCGTCCGGATGGCCTCAGAGGGTCCCAAGGTAGCCCAAGACGGCCTCCAGACGGCCGAAAAGCCTTCCAAAAGGCACCCAGGGCGCTCCGAGAGCACTCCCAGCAGGGCCTCCTGGTGCTGCAAGTGAAGGTTTTCTGTAGGTTTTTTAACATTTTCAGCGTACACTATTTTTGGACCCTTGCAGCGTCCACGATGGCCCAACAGCGCCCCAGATCGCCCCAAGCCGGCCCAAGAGGCCTCCAAAGAGAATCCCAAGGCAGCTCGAGAGAGAGGGCCCCAAGACGGCCCAAGAGAGCCCGAAGACGACCCAAGAGGCGCCCAAGACGACCCAAGATGGCCCCAGAGATGGCCCACTAGAGCCCCAGGTGCATCCCAAGACAACCCCAAGAGCGCTCCCAGGGAGCCCGAAGAGGCCCCACAGCGGATGCTGCAACGCATCCCCTTGTTGCAGCATCCGTAGGGTGTTTTCTGGGGGCCCTGTTGAGGCCGACTTCGGGCCCTCTCGAGGCCCTCTTGGGGCAATGTTCGAGATTCTCCGGGTGCCGCCCAGAAGCTCTTGCAAGGTTGCACGACAACCAAGAGAGTTGCAAGACAGTTCGGGGAAAGCCCCAAGACGGCCCAAGAGGCGCCTAAGGCGACCCGAGATGGCCCAGAGATGGCCCCGCCGCGTTCCCTTGCCAGGGCACCAGCGAATGTGCTCCACAGGTACACACCTGTCAGCTACAACTCTGGGATCAGCGCGTGCGAGAAAAGTACGCAGTGGCAACGGGCTCTGTCGCTGCTCAGTGAGATGTGGGTAAGAAAACTCAAACCCAACGTCATCAGCTACAGCGCTGGGATCAGCGCATGCGGGAAGGGCGAGCAGTGGCAGCGGGCTCTGGCACTGCTCAGCGGGATGCGGGAGGCGAAGCTGGAGCCGAACGTCATGTCTACTACAGTTCTGGTCGCGGCGCGTACGAAACGGGCGAGTTCGTGGCGCGCCTCGGGGGGCACTCCACGACGGCTCCAGCGAGTCCCCACATGGCCCCAAGATAGCCTCAGACGGCCCCATGACACCTTTGATGCGTTCAAGAGGGCGCCAGGATGGCCCAAGAGGACCTGATGTGAGCCCCATGGCGGCCCAAAGGCTGGCCAGGAGGCTCCGCAGACGGGCCACGAGGACCCCGATTACGGCCCGACGATGCCAAAGTCAACAGCATTCCATTTTAAGTGTTGTCAGGTGGCCCGAGAGAGGCCCAGGCTAGCCCAACAGAGCCTCAAGTGGCCCCCCAAGACGGCCCCAAGAGGGCCCCAGGAACCGCCCCAGAGGACCCAAAGCGGGCGCCAAGACGGCCCAGGACCCCCAACATGGCCCCAAGACGGCCCAAGAGGGCCCCACAATCGCCCAAGAGGACCCCCAGAATTGTCCAAGAAGGCCCACTCCGAAATATCCAAGAGCCTCCCAACAGTCCCCGACAGTTGCCACGGAGCTCCCAATAGAGAGCCTCCAGCCTCAGCACCTTTCGCCGTGTCTGGATTCCAAGAAGCCCCAAAGACAGCCCCAGACCCCAAAAAATCCAGAGCCCCCGAAGAGACTCCGATAGTTGCCAGGGAGCTCCAAAGAGAGCATCCAGTCCCGGCACCTTTCGCAGTTTCTAGCCCCTTTTGTTGTTCTCCTTTCTTCTCTTCCTCACCCCTCTCTTTGGTGTTGCTTTCCCCGTCCTCGTCCTCCTGCTCACCCCCCTCATCCTCCTCCATTTGCTCGCTGTCCTTCTCCTCGACCTCTCGTCTTCTCCTCCCTGCACACAACAGCTAGCCTCGGCCCCCCACTGCGGCCGCTTGAGGGTGGCATGGGGGACATCCGCGACAGTAGCCCCAGAGAAATTCCCAGACCACAAACCAAGGTCCCAGAAAGCTCTGGTCCCCGTGTTCCTCTCTTCTCTTTTTCCTCATCCTCCTTATTATCATCATAAGCATCATCAGCATCATCAGCAGCAGCAGCATCATCATCATCATCAGCATCATCATCATCAGCAGGAGCAGCAGCATCAGCATCAGCATCATCAGCATCATCAGCATCAGCATCATCATCATCATCATCATCATCATCATCATCATCATCATCATCATCATCATCATCATCATCATCCTCATCCTCATCCTCATCCTCATCCTCATCCTCATCACCAGCAGCAGCAGCATCAGCAGCAGTAGTATCAGCATCATCAGCATCATAAGTATCAGCATTATCAGTATCAGCAGCATCATCACCAGCATCGTCAGCATCGGCATCATCATCATCATCATCATCATCAGCAGCAGCAGCAGCAGCAGCAGCAGCATCAGCAGCATCAGCAGCGGCATCAGCAGCAGCAGCAGCAGCATCGTCATCATCATCAGCAGCAGCAGCAGCAGCAGCAGCATCAGCATCAGCAGCAGCAGCAGCATCAGCATCAGCAGCAGCAGCAGCATCATCGTCCTCTGCCTCAGGGGGCCTCCACACCCACCTCTCTGGTGCCATTCCCCCTCTCCTTCTTCTGCTCGCCGCCGGCGACCCCTGCGCGCTCGGAGCCGGCGCTTCGACCTGCCTGCCGTGGATCTTCCACGGATATGCGCACGGATCCTCGCACGCGGTCGGCAAAACGGGGCGCACACACCCGAAGGGCGAGCGCCGGGAAGTGGCTCCGGTGGCCAAGGTCTTCCCCTGCGGGCCCCGGCAGGCCCCGGCGGGCTGCGATCGGCAGCCTTGGGGCGGGGGTCAGTGCACACGGGGGTCAGCCAGAGCGCCCGATCTTGCAGGATCCTGCAGGGCCAGGGCCGCATTGACCCGGGCTTGGGTGCAGGATCCTGCAGGGTCCTTCGCATTGACCCGGGTTTGGGTGCAGGATCTTGCAAGATCCTGCAGGATTCTGCAGGGCCTGATTGACCCGGGTTTGGATTGACCCGGGTAAGAAGATTCCCGATGCGAGACGGTCTTGGATGGCCCGAGACGCCTCCAGACGACCCAAGAGGTCGCCAATATGGCCTTCAGCCGGTTTCCTAAGAGGGCTCCGAGAGGTTCCCCAGGAGGGCCCCGAGAGGCGAGTTTCTCACTGATGCGGGAAGCCTCGCTTCTTCGGGCGTCCGATGCTCCAAGACGGACCAAGAGGCCTTCAAGATCGCCCCCACACGGCCCAACAGGCCCCCAAGAGAGCCCCCAGACGGCCCAAGAGGAGTCTAAGGCTTGCCCAGCGGGCTCCGAGACGGCCCAAGATGGCACGAGACGCCTCCAGACGACCCAATGGGATCGCCATATGGCCTCTTCTGGCGGCCCAAGAGGGCCCCACGACGGCCCAGGAATGTCCCAAGAGGCCCCCCACGAGGGCCCCGAGATGTCCAAACCAGTAATTGCCCGTGGGTTCTTTCACCGGTTTGGGAGTTCTCGCTTCTTGGGGCTTCCGATGCTGCAAGACGGCCCAAGAGGCATTTGGCGGCCCCCTAGAAGACCCAAGAAGGAGAACTCGACCTGACATTCCGCGCCCTCCGCCCCAAGATGACCCCCGAGACCTCCAGCAAGGCCCCCGAGAGGCAGGAAGCCCCCCCAAGCGGCCCAGATCAGGCCCCAAGAGGCCCCCGCAGCACACAGCAGCAGCCAGCCCCGCGTTATCATGTTGCCTTTCGGCAGCACGTGCACCATCACGTGCCAGCTCGTGCAGATCTCGTGAACGTATAAGCCGCGAGCCACCCCTGGTCAGCTACAACGCTGGGATCAGCGCGTGCGAGAAGGGCAAGCAGTGGCAGCGGGCCCTAGCGCTGCTCAGCGGGATGCGGGAGGCGAAGCTGGAGCCTAACGTCATGTCTACAGGGGACCGCGCGTGCCAGAAGGGTCCTGCACCGAGGTGCCCTTCGGAGCTTCCGGAGCAGCCCTGAGGGCCCCAGGGCGCCCCGAGGGCCCCGGGACGCTTCCGAGACGCTTCCAGACGGTGTTCCGGAGCCTTCGGAGAACCTCACGCGGCCCGAGAGAGCCCCCCAACCGCTCTAAGGTGGACGCCAAGGTGGCCCCGAGAGGCGCTACAGCGACTTCACCGAGAGCCCCCGACATGCGAAAATCATGGAATCGCTGTTGTTGGCTTTCTCACATGTTTACCACTCTCCACCTTGCGGTGCCAAATTGCTCCACAAAGAGCCCGACATGCACCCAACTACAAGAGGCCACGGGAGGGCCCCAAACGCCCCCAAGATAGCCCAAGACGGGCCAATCGGCCTCCAAGCTCGCGAGGGCCCAATTTGGCCCAAGACCGCCCCAAGATGGCCTCAAGGCCACCCCCCTCCCCCCCAAAAAAAACACCCAGAGGCCCCAAGGCCCACCCAGGGTGCCCAATCGGAACCCAAGAAGCCCCAAAGAAAGCTCTTACGGTCGAGAGGAGCCCTGGTTCCTTGGTTCTCGGTCTGGCCCTCAGACCCAGGTCGGGGAACTTCTTCGCGGCCGAGGCTCGCGGTGGCCAGTCTCCCTTCGAGTAGCACGAGGACTGCAGATGAGCCCACGAGGGCCCCATGAGCCACCACACCTGGGGGCTTCTCGGGGCCCTCCCAGGTCCCCATGCGGGCCTACGCCCCGCCTCCCCGGCACGAGCCCCCCCCTCGCTCCGCAGCAGAGGCCCACGGGCTCACCCTCGCTTGTCGTCGGCTACGGCTCAGCTCTGCGTGGCGCGCGGCACCGCCGACGGCGGCTTCCACTTTGCTTGGACGGTGCGCCGCCGGCGTCGTCTTGGACGTTGCCGTTCGCAAGCGACGACGACGACGACGACGACGACGACG